CCACGTTCTTCCTCTCTCTCTCTCTCTCTCGAGTGGTGGTATCGTTTTCTTTCTCCGTCCTCGTTTCGGTTCTGGGTAGAAGAATCTACATCCGTTTTCTCGTTCGATTTCTGGGAGAATTCTGGGAGAAAAGAGGGAATTTAATAAGGGGGCGCGTGTAACGAGGAGGAGAAGCACGATTATTCGCTCGCGACGTTTCCAACGGCGGCGACAAAAGCCACTCGAGGCGCAACTCGGTCTGCAAATTGCATCGCGCCGGTTGTAAGCCGCTGCTTTAAAGAAGGGGAAGAATGTACTTAACGCGCAATTTTCCATTAAACCGTTGCGTTTCCGACGAGACACGAGAACCTCTGTTTTCGTTGTGGGAAAGAAAAAAAGCCGATCGGCGAGAAGCCGATCTTTTTTTTACAAAGAGAGAGCCTGGCTTCGTCGAATTAAAACGAAACGAGGCCGCATTAGGAGACGCGTTTAAGCCCGATTTATCCTTTCTCGGGTCGATCGTTGAAGGGAAAAAAATAAGCTCTTTTTCCCTGGCTACGTGTTACAAATGGATGATTCTCCTGGGAAAAACAAACGAACGCGGGTAATTTTTTCGAGAAAAAAACGTCGAGGAACGTCGCGTATGTGGAGAAAGTCTGGTGAAACGACCAGTTTTTGCCCGACCACGAGGATGGAAGTTAAGGGCGAGAGAGAGAGAGAGGAGGTCGTCGAACGAAGGGTAGGATGGAAAATTGTAAAAGATGGGAGCGAAGGCTGGCGGTTGGAAGGAAGAATAGAGGATCCGCCCTCGTTAAGGAAATAATCCGCGGCTTAATTAAATACAGAGCGCAATTAGTTCTGCTTCCATAGCAATGGATGCCGGCTGTGTCTCTCGCGTGAAATCCCGTGGAATTTCCTTTTCGAAAACGTTGCTCCCCTTCGAAAAGAAATTCTTGGAAGAGGAGGAGTTGGAATCGAAGCAGGGATTTCAAAAATTCACCGAGTCGTTAAGTTTTCCCTTGATTAACCTCCCTCTCTTCCCCCGTAATTTGCGTTAACCTTCTTCTCTCCTCCGATGAAAAACTCAAAAGACGCGGGAAAGATGCACGAAAAAGAGGAGAGGAGAGGTTCGATTTGCATCCTGTGTTAAATAACTGTCCTTTGCTCGGCAATTTTTTCCGGCCTTTCGCCTCGCACGTAGGTTTGTTCCCGAGGTCGGCAACCCTTTTCCTGGGGAGGGGAAACGCGCCGACTAATGGGGAAAAATAGTAATGGGGAAAAAAGTTGGGGGGATGGGATCGATCGGCGGTAATCGAGCCCCTCTGTGGCGAGGATAATTAACCCCCTCATACGAACCGTATAAATTGAATCGCGAGCACCGCTTCCCTCGATAAGCTAGCCGGTTAACCAGGCAAATCGAATTAATCCACCGGCGATTACACGCGCGTTTGCGTGTACAGCTTCTTCGAGCAAAAGAAAAGGAGGGAGAGAGAGAGAGAGAGCAAAAAAAGGAGGGGCACACATCTATCGCTGGAAATTTTCGTTCCGAAAGGAGGAAGGAGAGGCAAAAAGGGTGCGAATATCGGTGGGTTCGCCCGAAGTCGTACGAATTTACGGCCGGGCATAAATCCACCGATTCTTCCACCCCGCATCTTTCACCGCTGGAAATTGGAAAGATGCTCCCTTCCGCAAATTTATTCCCACGTACGGGTTTAAGTGGCGGCTGGAGATTATCGGCAAGAATCCGAGCAACAATCTGCGGCAAGGATTCGAGAGGATTCCTCGCCGAGGGAAGTTGCGTACGTAACGCAGGTGGAGAATTTTTAGATTTTTCCCGAATAAGGGAGGAGGATGGGCCCCATAGCCATAGGAACGAGCGCAGCTGGAACGCAATAAAGGGAGAGACGTCTTAAATCGTGGCGAATGTACTCCGCTATCTCGGCCGAGCAGATTAAAACCTGCGACGGAGGAAAAGGAAGGGGGAGGAATAAAAATCGTTTTATGATTTTTATCCGCTTTTATGAATTATCTCTGCGCGGCAAAAAATTCAAACACGCATCACAGGATTTTAAATTTAACTCTCGCTTGGATCGATGCAGCAAGGGTAATTGTGCTCTTCGAATATAGTCTTATAAAGTGTAGAATAATTGTATTGTCGAATGATACTTTTCGTCTGAAACAAGATCGAACTACTATATATCGGGAGAAGAAATTGACGATTGAGAGAAGGAAAGATTTTTCGTTATTAAATAATAATAATAATAATAATTTCTATTCGTTAAGAAATTGAGAGAAGGAAGGTAGCGATAAAAATAGAGACAAATTGGTACAAGGATAATATAAAATCCTTTTATACCCGTGTGTGAAATTCAAGTTTCAAGTTAGGAAAGGAGAAAGGGATGCGGAATGCAATTATACGAACAACGAGTGGAAACGAATCTTGAGATTCTCCCGTTTCTTCCAATTGCGGGGACGACTTTCAAATGCAAGTTGGTCGGCGACAAAGCGCGTCGCGATATCGGTTAAACGAGAGGGAGGAGGAGGAGGAGGAGGAGGATATCTCGTCCAAGTAGTTTTGCCAGGAATGCGGCACGACGCTTACCTTCGCGCGATCTCGAACTATGCGCGCGGCGACGACAGAGTAGTTGCGGGCTAACAGGGCGTTGGAACGAGCGAGTGTTGTGTCACCCACCGAGTGTGATAAACTGCTGCCCGCTAACTACGCGAATTATTCCAAGTAGTACTCCTCCAAAACTTTCCCCACCGGGGATGCCGCCAACCGAACGAATATAATAAACCTTCGACTCCTTCGATCCTTGTTTCGAGGTTGTTGAATACGATTTTCCCGCATTTCTTTAAAACAATGAAATAATCACCGCGAAAACAAACAATTTCGAATCGAAACGCCCCATTCGTCTATTCTTCCAAGCAAGAATGGAATTGGAAGAAGGATCATTTTACGGAGAAAGTCGGTTGCGGGTAGCCAAAAACTGCCGTCCGGTATCGGCCACCTGTTTGACCCTCTCGAATACGAATGTAATTAGCGGGGAATCGAACGTGCCGAAGATTAATGGGCGCCGTTAATCGTCGAAATGGATTTCTTCGTTAAAACCCGATCGCGAAGAATCCGTCTCGATCGAGGCGATTCGGGGGAGAAAAGGTGTTTGG